CAGTCTCATTTAACTGTTTAATGTTAATTTGACCTATTTTTTGCAAGTTGGTCGGAACGATAGGTAGATCTTGTAGAAACTACTTATTTCTGAGTCCTCTGAAACAGTATTCATGATAATTTCCAAGAACGGACCGATAACTTAGTACATTTTGATAAGTTGTATGTGCTAAGGATGATGCTTCTCACTCATGATGACGGCGAAACGTCTGGAAGTGTGATAAATCAACGGTCCGATGCTGGAAATTATTATGAATATTATGACAGAGGACTCAGGACAAGATATATTCGACAAAGTCTCCCTATAGCTACGATCAAGTTGTAAAAATGAGGTAAGACCGATACGCTCATAATGTATTATTTAAGACTAACATTAAAGTTATTTCGTTTTGGGAATTAAACACAAAGCATGTTTTAAAAGTGAAACGATAATCAAGGTTCATCGCATCAGACGATTTAATTTTAAAACGCATAGAATATAAACGCATGTTTCTACCTTATCTCTAAATTATACCTGGCACTTCAAATATAGGACTGTCTAACAGATTAAATTGATGTATTATCATCTGATGTGTTTATTAGTCTCATTTGTTATGAAGGCTCACAATAAAGCAGGTCTTAAAAATTCACAAGATATAGGAAGTAATATATTCCAACAAACCGCAACTACTGAAGAAGAGCCAAACCCTTAAAAATAGTAAAGTCAATTTTACCAAGTTATCCAAGGCTTAAATATCAAAACTCCCAAGAAGAAATATCAAAGACTATATAAAAATAGCAAAAAAATTTGCAGAAATTTAAAATAATCCTTAAGTCAATCTATCTTACGGAACATAAATACTTCAAGTTACAGACGAGTCAATAATATCTTTGTAACTAAGGGACTTAGGGGACACAAGTGCAAGCATATACTCAATAATATAAAACTTTAGAGGAATAAGAAATTATATAAAAGCAAAAGGTATGATAAAGGTGAAATCCCAGCCAGTTAGAGATTGTGATCAACTCCAGATAAGAACAGCCTTTTAGAAGCTAACCAAAGTGAGTCCTATATATATCGATGTTGAAAAATCAACTAGTAATTATTAATTGAAGATATAAAAACCAAGATGTTGTGGCCTCTGTTATGGTCGCAGTAATTATTAATTCTAGTAATTATTAATATTAAAAAAATGCATTTAAGGGGTAAAAAGTGTATTTATGAGACGTAAGAAGCTCCGCGATAAAAACGTATAGTTGGGCTATCCCAGCTATCAAAGCGATATAGACAAGGACATAAAAGTTGATTTCGCCGGAAAACATGTGAAAAACAAGACAGCAAGATTTAAAAATACATAAACATTTGATTAAATCTTATTTGTCTAATTAAATCGAGCTAAAGTGAACAAGGCAAACTTTATATTAAAAAAGCATACATGTTGCTGGCGCTCACGCGCCTCAGCTGATTCAGCTACGGCTTGAAGCCAAGTAGTGGTGAGATTGAAGGACCGAAAAAGACGTTCCATTTGACGCTTGTAGGTACGACTCAACTCTTCAAGATATCTGAAATTAAAAGATTAAGGGTATTTTATCAAGCTTGAAGGTATGGTTTTAAATACAGAAACATGAAGATGGAAGGTGGAAGAAAATTGATGGTAAAATACGGTAAATGAAATTCAGATACTTATAACAATATTGAAATGAGGCCTGATAAAGAACACTACTCACCATGAATTTATCGGAATAAGAGTTTGATATTTAACAGCGAAACTAATTAGTGCAATAAATTACAGAACCAGAACAATGCGTCAATCACTTCGTCAAAAACGTGGATGCAAAAATAACAGATTGAGCAATATCCATTGAATGCCTCCTAGCTTTTGCATTTTAAGGAAAAAATATCATTGTAATATTATATCAAGCTCCTTTGCAAAATTAGAGGAGACACATGATAGGAAAATGGTAAAATTATTTAAGTTTTGAGATATTAAATCTAGACTCAGGCAAGATTTGAGCCAGATTCTCATTTTGAAGGATTTCCTGAAGCTGCAGATGACAGACAAAATGTCGAAAAGGATATCGAGCTTAATAAAAAAAGGCACCAGAAGAAGCTCGATAAATATGTAATCTATAGGCCGCCCAAGGTCCAACCATCCGGCAAAAATGAAGATATCCCTAGAATGACGGATCTCACATTCCAGATAAGAAATGAAGATAAAGTAGTGAATATGTCTTCCGTTCCTCTTGACCCGGAGAACATAGAGCTCAACAAAGAAATAAATTTTGCATTTGGGAATGAAAGGAAGGCAATCAATGACAGTTTATATGTTATAAATACCTCTGAGAAGCAACCTAAGAATCAAAAAGAGAGCTGGAAACGGAAAGCACCCTAACAATATTGAAACATCAAGAACCCACGGATAGGAACAATATAACTAAGATATATAGTGAATTAAGAAGAAACGATTTAATAGTTCTAAAGGCTGACAAAGCAGGTGCCACAGCGGTGATGGAGAGGAAAGAATGTACTGAATAAATGGAAAATATTCTCGATAATAAAAAGTCAAAATTACCATGTATATGGAGAATAACGGATATTTGCCTGGAATAACCCTTAACTTCCAGTCTAACTAGACTTATGGAATAAAGTTGAAAATATCCCAGAGTATAGTCATTACCAGCCCAAGAATGAATCATTCTGAGTTATAGGAAGAGGAAATGGAAAAGCCAACTCATATCTCTCTTTGAAACGGATATCCAGAAGAAGCAATACAACGCAATAGACCCATAGTGATGAACAGATGGAAGGACGGAGATTATAAAAAGGAAGCGAGAGAGAGTAAAAACGATGAATATGTATATCATCCTGCAAGTTGGCACGGAAGCTGCAGCCGATACGACACAAACGGAATATTTGTACAATCCCGAAGGAAAAGGCAAACAACTTCAGCAGCTTGCCTAATCAACATGAAAACGTCAACAAAATGGAGTACTCCGCAGTTTATAGTAGAAACTGCAAGAACTCTGAACAAAAAGCAATTGGAGACGGGAAGGATAATCAGCACATGGATTAAAGAACACTAGCGACTGTGCAGAAAAATGGATAAGGAAAGATCGGAGATAGCTGAAAACACCGCCCTTACTGGCCTCACAGTTGACTAAAATGCAACAAAAAGACTGGCATCATAAGTGAAAAACACAAGAAAATTGAAGATCAAGGAGGCTGTAGGAATCCTCTTTCAAATATACCTGATGTGCATGAGATTATAAGAGGAAAAAGTCAATGATAATTTCCTGTACTGCCTGGGCAGGCGATTGAATTGTGACAAATCAAACCCGGATTCGACGAAAAATTTACCAGGTGGGGAGGGTCAACCTGTGGGATGCATTAATGGAAAGGCAAAGGTATAAGTGAGCTACCTGTGTATGTATGTGTGCATTTTTAGTGTGCCTAAGGGGAGGTAAACTGTGACATGCCTGACCACGGGGGATGCTAACCAACACACAAATGAACATACGCGCACCCTAGGATGAGATGAAAGTGTTAATATGAAGAACGAGTGGGCTTTTCGCACTTCATTAGGGAAAAAGAGAAGCGGTCTATTTTCATATAAGCGATTATAAGCCGAGCACAGAGCCACAAACAATGAGAAACAATATTGGTGTGGATGAAAAAGATGATAACCGAGTCATAGGTTTGAAGCCAAGGAAGAGGAAAATTCTCAGGCACTGGAACTGGGCTTTTCTGATTCATGATAGATTGCAGCTTCATACAATGAAAAGACAAAGAGGCGGAAAATTAGGGAGGCCATTGGCATAGTTTTTGGGGGAAAATCTAATGAAGAGGAGATTGTAGTAGGGTAGAGTTAGCAAGTACTTTGCCTTATGTTTAAGCAAACTAGAGAAAAACGAGAATACAGCAAAACCAGCAAAAAAGAGACGCCCGGATTAACTATCTATCGCTAACCGGAGGAAAAGGAATCGCGATCAGAAAAGAGGGGGAATTTCGGAAATAAAGCGAAGATGTTATCGGTGAGTGGTATCTGTTCAAAGAAGCCAGTACGACTTCTATGACACGCCGGTCAAGGAACTAGACATACGGATAAGCATAAACGCCAAAATGTACTACAACTCCATTTGAGAGGCCGCAGGCGACCAGGGATAGGTGTCCACAGTTTGCTCAGGTAACTCGGGTTTAATCATAAAAATTCATGAAGACGGTGCCTAATATCTGCAAGCATGAGAATCAGAGCCTAAGCGCTCTGCTCGGTAAGGTGGTAGTGTACATGCTTCTTAGACGTCGAGGAATAGCGCCTGGAGCAAAACAAACACTGGGACTGGAGCCAAGTGAAATCGGATTTACGGTACCATGAGGGAGATAGGAGGGCTGAATCGGATTATCCGATTGAAAGAGAGGGATCGAGGTGAGCAGCAGGTGTGATGAGGCCCCACTAAATTTACCAAAAGATGGCACACACTTTGATGAGTGAAATGTGAACAAGTCAGAAGTTGTGATAGGGCGAGAGTCGAATAAGAAGAAAAGGAGTAGATAGATGCGTTAGAACAGAAAGAGGACTAATAGTGTAACCGTTTCGGTAGAACGTTGGTCAAGGGATTGACTTCACTTGTCTCTTTGACGAGTTAGTAGCTTGGTGCGGAGAATGGCAAGATTTATTGATGATTTTGACTAAGATGGAGGAGAAACGTCTGAGAATGTACCAAGTCTACGGTCTGATGCTGGGAATTTGTCCGAGGACAAAGTGCATTCAACTAAGTCGCCCTGACAACAAGATCAAGTTGCGAAAACGAGGTTAACCCACTTGATACACCATTTTTAAGTTTCACTAATGTTAGCATATTATTAGAGATCGAAAGAAGGTTCATGAACATACACATTTGATATAGCACTAGCAATCTGGCAACATAAGGCCTAAATTGGCTTGAAATTCACACCTTTTCTGTGACTCAATGGCACCCGCGTAGTGTGGCTAAGTGATGATGTTGCCACTTGACGCGAACAATTCGGTGTAAAATACCATTTGAGCTGCTGATAAGCCACAAGCAAAATAGAAACTGCAGTCCAGACACTAAAAAAAATCATTTTGAGACACTAGGCTAAATGGAATTTAATGAAATTGAGACAAAAAATGTTAATTGAAGGGAATCCAATTATTGGTCACTTCAAGCGGCATAAAGAGGCTCAAATGCTTGTCCATGATCCAATGGTAGATTCAAAAAGTACTCATTAGGCATAGTTCTGAAAGAATATTCGTCTTATATATTTTTTGATAATTTTCACGCTTTCCAAATTGTTTGCCTACAAATAATTATATATGTTTTGTCTAAAATATGATTTCTTAAAGGGAAAATACGCTTCATTCTGTCCTATTTACTAATAGTTTGTAAGTGATTATTTTGTGAATAACAGAGGATAATATCGACATGCTAAGCTGGTGAGTTGCGTGCGTAAGTTACTTTCGCCTAATCTAAATAATGCATCAACAGCTAGAGGCGAAAATCCCGTATTATAGACAACGGAAAAATAGAGCCTAGTTCGCATTTAAAGTATAGCCGTGTTCCATAAAAACTAATTATTGATTGTTTTAGAATCGGTTGCATAAGAAAATTAGTCTAGGCAAGGGTGTAGGTCGGGGAGCAACGTAGAATGGCCAGTCAATGCCGAAAAACGCACTTTTCACTTTAGTAAAGCACATTAGAACAGAACACTCTATAAACGTTCACATTAAAAGAGCAAGAGACACGATAGCAACCAGTACGTATTTAGAGAAATGGAAGATGAATAGGGATGCAACACCAAGAATTTCATGAGGCCAGCGTAAATTGCAAAAGGATTAGTACTAAAGAAAATAATAATTAAATAAGATCAAAGTATTGCTTCATTGATTTGTTTACAGGGCCAGAAAATGTAAACACTCAAATAAGAGATACAGGGTAGGAAGGAAGTGAATAACAAAACTATGAGCATTAATCGAAGATATGAAGACCAAGATGGTGAGGCCTTTTGTGTGGTCACAGCCACCTATCGTTGTATAGAAGTTGTTTGACCTTGTTTTCGCTACTTGGACATATTGGTAGGAAGACCCAGAGGAACGCACATAGTCCAGAGTCCATTGTATGGATAATAATTTCCAGAGTCGGACCGTGGACTTGGTACATTCCAAGACGTTAGGCTGGCATCGTTAGTGAGCCTTGCCAGTCTGAGCACCATAGAACAACTCATAAAAGAGACAAGTGAAGCCGGAACTTTGACCAAATGTGTGTTAAACAGTTGTGGTATCTCTCCTTCTGCCCTGTACTATTCACCTATCCTATATCCTCCTATCACGCCTTTAATTTCACTATTTTATATAAATCTAGTGTGGTGTGCCATTTTGAGCTGCTTTCATGAGAACCCTCCACACTCCACACTGGCGTTCTCACCTCTCCTGCATCCTTGTGCTGGGAATGTGGATCAGTCTGCCAGGTTACTAAGCAGTCCTCTTTCCCTAGATCTTATCCTCTTGCCCTGTAGGATCCGTCTGCTATCTCACTGGCTCAAGTATTTCACTCGACCTCTACCACCCCATTTGTGCTACTCAAGGCGTTAATGCCCCTCCCCTGCGTCTGGGTGACTAATTCGAGACTCAAGCCTCAGCTACATGGACGACATCTCTGGTAGAACCTACTGTCAGCCAACTAGCTCCAGTTTCCGCCGCGTCTATTCTGTTTCTAGCCTTAATACCAAGTCTATGACTTCCCCTGCCCTAGTCTTTTGTGGGCCAACCCACAAACGTTGAAGTTCAATATTGAATCTAATCAAAGTAAGCAAAACCACAACATTTGTGGGTTTGCACATAAGAGACTAAGGCATAAAAAGACATAGACTTGGTATTAGCGATAGAAACAGGATAGACGCAGGGGATACTGGAGCTAGTTGGCTGACAATAGGCCTGTTTTACGAAATACGTGGTCCATATAGCAAAGGCTTGACCATAAGACTTACTCAGAGTTTTTAGCCTCAAATTAGTCACTCAGACGCAAAGTGTGGGAAATAACGCCTCGAGTAGCACAGATGGGGTTGCAGAGGTCGAGAGAAATACATGAACCAGGGAGAGAGCAGACAGATCTTACGGGGACAGAGAAAGACTGTGATAAGACCTAGGGGATGAGGACGGCGTAACAATATCGCAGACTCTAATCCACATTCCCAGCACAAGCAAGGGTAAAGGGGGGGTGAGAAGGCAGGCGTAGAGCGTGGTAGGTTCTGATGAAAGCCGCACAAAAGGACACATTACACTAGATTCAAATAAGCACAGAAAAATAGTGATAGTGAGCGTGTGATACGAGGACATAAGAAAGGTAAATAGCCCAGAGCAGAAGAAGATACTACAACCGTTTAGCACACATTTTGTCAAAGTTTCGGCTTCACTTGCCTCTGACGAATTGTTGTATGGTGCTAAGAATGGCAAGACTCACCGACGATGCCGACTACGATGACGGCGAAATGTCTGGGGATGTACCATGCCCACGATCCGACTTGAATTTATCAGGTATACAATGGACTCCGGACTATGTGCGTTCCTCTGAGTCTTCCTACCAATATGCCTTAATTTTGTTAGTTCGACTTTATTTTCGCAACTTGGTCAAGCGTCAGAGAGACCTTTTAGAACGTTCCTAGACCCAACTCCTCTACCATAGTATTCGTGATTTCCAGAATTGGAACCAACAACATAATAAAGCTAAAGAAGACTGCGACCACACAGAAGGCCACACTATATTCGTCTTCATATCTATGCGCATTAAATTGGCATAAATCATAAACACATCGGAGATGCAGAACATTGAGATAGCAATATCAAGGATTGTGCATTCTAAGAGAATAAAACAAACTATTATGCATTATAGGGTTTTTAAGTAAACCTTATGAAAAATACATCTATAATATAAGACAGGTAATAAAAGCCGCATGGAAGTGGCATGTCATGAAAAAAATGTCAAACAAGATCGTCGTAAAATGTTTTAATATAACCTTGTCTTACATTGATGTGAAATAAATCTAGATCACTTAACTTGAATAGATCTCAAAAAATTGTGCATTTGCTTATAATGCAATCTTATAAAAGTTTGTGACAATTCAAATCGGCACCTTTGGGGTACCTGATTGCTGTAGAGGTTTGCCAGTTTTGACAACTTTTGGCCGAGTCACTAATAGTCCAATACAAGGTAAAATTGAAACTGGAACAATGTTTTAACTTCAAGTGTGAGTCGAAGATGATAGTATGATCATCTATTTGCAAAAATCAAACTAAAGTATCAGAGCTCGGAATATAACATTTTCGTCTATTCACTTCGCCTCTGAAGTTGTTGGAAAGAGAATTTATAGGGTAAATTAATTTCATACGAATTGATGATAAGCTCAAACGTCTCAAAGTTAATATAAAAGGTAGAAAGTCAAATCCTTGTTACTTATCGGATCTGAGAGATACTTGATACAGACAAGCAAATGTCAATGGCTAACGAAAGTATATACACGAAATTCTTAAGGGATCATGCCGTTGCATAAGAAAGGATATCTATATTGGGTAAGTAATACGGATGAGGAAAGTTGAGCAAAAAGGACAGGATATATTAGATGTGTTCACTCTATTTTGATTAAGGTGATGAAGGATTTTTAGTTGAATTTTCCAAGAATCATATGAGTAGACATAAAGTTGCATCGAATTTCATATAGCCCTGTTTTTAAAAAGTTATTATCCTCTGCACACGAGTGGATTGTAATTTCGACCTTGCCTACGTCTCATCGGCCCCCCCAGCAGGACTCGAAGAATGACCGTACAGAGTATAATCTCGGCATGCTAACCACTACGGCATAGTCGTAACTGCAGTCCACTCCAGCCGGGATGATAATGGAAAGGTAAAGTATACTCATATAATTGTGGGAAAACATAAATAACCAGTCCCTCATCACCTTAAACGAAAGAGTAAGCCCATATCATATATCTGATTTACTGATAGTCCTGAAACCCTACGAAATAAGGTTATAGCTTAACTAAGGTAGGATTTAGAGAATAATCGAATCTGGAACTGAACTTACTGCATGCTAACTGAAACGTTGGCTTCGATCAAGCGAACCCTGTTACTTAGCCGCATATAGGCAGTCTCCTTACGAGAGCCACCAATCGTTGCGGGCACAATGACGATGCTCTCTTTTGGGGCGGTCGTCGCCCCAGCAACAGGGGCACCAGTGCTACTCACTGCCGGCTTTTTGTCAATGGAACCTGGGTCGACACGCGATGGCATTTGCTTAGTAAATGTTAGTGAACTTTCGCTTGGTTGAGAGTCAAGTGTTGGATTAGTGATCATGGGAGTCGACGGTGTGGACGAGGAGAAATGTGTTGAAGAAGGATAGTTAGGAATAGATTGGCGCCGGGTGGCTGAATAGTTTGAGCTGGGGGTAACCTTGCATTCGGCTGACGGATCTATGCGCAGTATATTGTTTCTTAGCAGAAGATTCACTGGGGCCGGTTGGCTGGCAAGCATCAGTAACCAGAGATGAGTAATTAAATGGCCGAGCCTGGAGCAGACGCGTCCATTGCAAAGTTTACAGGCTGGCGAATCAAAGGCATTGGTGGCATCTGTGGTGCAAGCAGGCTTTTGGTATAGCCCCTGACGAAGCGACATTAGCCCCACTACACCGACGTTCCCACTGGCCTGACAAGCATGTAGCATGCCTTCTAGCTCGTCCTCCGTTAGCCAAAGATACTAAGGATGGAAAATAGCAGATTAAATGGAATAAATTAATGTGTGAATTCGATAATTCATTGTCTGTATTTTAAAGTTATTTGTTATCATAGCCATCAATATTTCAACATTAAATCCGTAGGTAATGTGGGAATAAAATGTGATGATTATTCCGCAATGAGATTTCTTTAGGAATGCTTATCCCTTAAGATACTCTCTTGATCGAATTATCTTCATATCCATGTCCTCCCGCGTCTCCATAATAAATTTCACTTTTCCATCTATTTGGCTCAAGAGTAGTAATTAGCCTCATTTTTTTTCTCTTCCATGCGACCAAATTTCGAAGCTGTCCAGATAAGGAAGAACTGATCGTGAGTGCATAATTGCCCGTATCAGCCCATAGATACGAGCGCTGAATATGAAATAGGTCGTATAATCGTCAGGTTGAAAATCGTATCAAAGATATTTTCGTGATATCTTCTTCCCTTTTCAAGATTTCCGAAAGTACTATGAGCTCCTTATTTTCTGAGATTTTCGTAATAAATTGATTGTGGATCAAAGCTTTCCAAGTATTCCCTTTATATGAGCATCGTCTGCTTGACTCTGAAAGAATTCATAAAAATCCTTCACCATATTGAATAATCTGCCATTATCCTATAATTTAAAACAGATCAATTTCGCCAGTTTCTGAGTTTTTCCATACTGATTGTTAGCTATTCGTCTTAGTAGAGATTCTTATACGTACATCTTCGATGGTCTTGCGTTCTTTCATAACAGTGAATGTATTGCAGTCTTCGACTTTTCCACTCATATTCATTTAGTTCAGCATATTGTGCAATAACTCTTTGATGTTCGTTGGTAAGCACTCGATAGAATCATTTTTCCTTGAATATAGTCCGAATATTGAGTCCTGATATTAATACTGCAATCTTCCATTGTCTGCTTGTACAATTATCTGATAATTCAATTTTAATTTTCTGTCTATCACCCTTAGAATAAATTTTTCAATAACATCTTAATATGCCAACATTTTCGGGAAAATGTATATATATTTTTTCTAAATTGTCCCTTTCGGAAACCTTTCATTATTTATTGATTAATTGATCCTAAATTTGAGCATCGAATTAGGATACTAGTAACCATAGGTAATATCAGGCAGTAAAGGACGGATATTTGAATTTTTAACAACCATATGATCAGGCCTCATGATGCCATTACATTTTATTCAGCCTTGCCTCTCCAAAAAGACAATGTCATCTTCAGTCTCGACATGGCCTGGGTTTCATCAATACCCCTAACGGGAATATAACCTAAGTTGTGCCATGCTTATTTTCGATATGATTATGTTGCACGATACTGCTGCGGGTGCCAGCAGTTCACAGAGCATATGTGACTTTTGAAGTAAGCCAGGCTTCTTGCATATTACATTTTAGTGAAAGGATTGTCAAAAAAGCAAACCCGTATTTTCCATTACAGTCAACAACACTACTTGTATGCGCAATCAGTGGATATTGGGAGACTATCGGTAGGTTATATTTAGGAAATGTAGCCACCCTGAATCGCTAAAGGTGGTGAAAAACTTAGAGTAAATTTCCTCACTTTCGCGACTTGGGATAATTATAATTATTAGTTAAGATTTAATCATATTTTTGTAAGTCTGCTCATTACATATACAAGATATAATTTTATAGTGAATTGGCTAAAAGCCATAAATCTATACCATTTAATTAACATCTTTAATTTTTAAAATAGGACGAACCGAAGAATGGGCGGAGAAAAATCGACCCAT